GAAGAAGTTTACTCCTAAGTAAGAGTACGTCCAGATTTCAGCCTTGGCTGCTGAGCTGTAATAACTTGTTGTGCTAACACGGGTTGGGTTTGTTTGCATGACGCATGCCTCTTTTGCAGTTAAAAGTGTTCTGTTTAACCAGAATGAATTTTTTTGTTTCAAAAAAGTAGACTCTGGAAAGAAAGAACAACGGGTTAGGAGTCGCTGCCATCGCTGTGAGGCAGGGGGTCAGACTAGATGACCCTTGGGTCCCTTCCAACACTATGCTTCTGTGTCATTTCCGCTCCCCCACTGACCCATTCAGTTGCTCAGCAGGGGCAACCACAGATCACAAACACACAAATACATTTTACTTGCTTTGTGGAGAAGGGAATGGTACCTGTAGAGTCCCTGTTTTTGCTTTTGCAGGGGGTTATTGTGGGGCTAGAGAGGATGGGATTTGTCCCTGGGCAGGGCAAGTTCCAAGTGCAGCATGGCCAAAAATTGCAGCTGCCCCTTTCTTCTGGTCAAGAAGTGCAAGAGGATGGGTTGAGTCAGGCCCAACAGCAGGGAACCAAAGGATTGGTCTCTGCAGAAGTGAGGCTACTGTGAGGGGTTTTTTAAGAAGAAGAAAAAGGGGGGGGGGCAACAACTTTTCAAAATTCTTTAACCTCAAGGAGCAAGTCCTCATTGTCTCCACATACTGTTTCTGCAGAGCACCCAAATACTGCTGGGGAAAGGGCAGTCAGGCATTGTGGCTTTTGAAGTGCTTTGTGTCCATTTCTCTTAAACCAGGCGAGGGGAACCTGCAGGCCCTCCAGGTGTTGCCTGACTACAGCTCCCATCAGCCCCAGCAAGCATGGCCAGTCACCTGGCAGGATGGGAGTTGCAGTTCAGCATCAACTGGAGGGTTCCCCATGCCTGTCTTAAAGTCGGAATTATGAGCCCTCATAGTGAAGTCAGAAGGGACTGAAGCATGACCCCTGGCAGAGGCTAGATTCAAACCAGAGGTCCCGTCTTGATTTCTCAAGCCAGTGTGGTATAGATGTTACGAGTGTCAGACAAGGACCTGGGAGACCAGGGTTCAAATCTCCACTCGGCCATGAAGCTCCCTAGGTGACCTTGGGCCAGTCACCTACGTTCCACTTAACCTACCCCACAAGGTTGTTGTTAGGGATAAATTTGAGGGTGGAGGAAAAATCTTGTATACCGCCTTGAGCTCTGTGGAAGAAAGAGGAAATAGAAACACAGCGACATGCTTCTATATAGCTCTCTCTCTCTCCTTTAGTTACTAGGCTATGCCAAGTTATCTTATTTTGGCAGACACCTCCTGCGTGGTGTGCAAGCTTGGTTGTGTTTAGGGTTTTTTAAAAATAATAATAATAATAAATTCCTGCCCTTTCCCTTTTTTCCCTTTCAAGTTTGAATGGAAGCATGTTGGACAATGTCTGTGGTTCTCTTGTGCTGGATTTTCTATGAACTTCTGCCAGGGCCTGACAGCTGTGTGGGCGCCTTTGAGATTAGGGGAGGCCAGTTAGCAGGAGGCTTTTCCTACCTGCTTTGATGGAAGGCTGGTCCAGGAAATGGGAACATCAGCTAAGTCCCCCGCTCCTTCTGACAACCTCCTTCGCTGCGGGGCTGGTCCCTTGGGGTTTTGCTAAGCCTTCGGGTTTGGGTTAATTTGCGGACATGGGCTTGCGTCCAAAGCAGTTCTTAAGTTTCCCGTTTCGGATTTGCCCTTGCGCAATGGAACATTCTCCCCCCCCCAACACATCCCCTCCCCTAAATTTGTTATGGTTCCCCACTCCCGAGCCTCCAAAGCTGATTTGAGAAAAGTATGTGGAGGGAGGAGTAATGGGAAACGAGGGCATTGGAAGATGGCACAAACATGTGTTCTGCTCCTGTCACGGATTCTTTCGCTGTGATTCCTGCATTGCAGGGGCTGGACTGGATGCCCCTTAGGGTCCCTTCCAACTCTACAATCCTATGATCTTGCCCAGAGCATCATGGACTGTTACAGATGCTCAGGTTTTTTTCGCAGCAGGCAGAGGTTTTCCAGGCTGCTCTGGGATTCCTTGGAAACTTATTAGTGACTTCTCCTCAAGGTTCTCACCATTCTTTTCTTCTTTTTTCCAAAGCTTTTCTTTATAACTTTTCCAATATTATTCATTAATCTTATGCATTTCATTTCTACGCCGCTTTATGTTTTAAAGAAAGAATCTCAAAAGCGGTTTGCAACACATCAAAACATCAGATAAACCCAGAACAAAACAGTGAATGTAACAAGGGCTGCTGTGGCAGAAAAGACTGGGAGTTTGCTGTGCTGGGTCTCCCCTTGTTTTGCTAGGTGCACTCTGTTCACAAGAGACAGCCCTGAAGCCCCAGAGATGTGGCCACCCAACCCACCATAGCTGTCAACTTTCAGATTTGAAAATAAGGGATCAGCAGCCTCACCTGTCCCGGGGACAGTCTACGGGATATCTAACAATCCGGGATAGCAGCGGGAAGCAGTGGGAAACGGCGCTGGAATAAGGGAATTTCCCACAAAAAAGGGAAGGTTGACAGCTATGCAACCCACACTAACAGGAGCTGGATGCTAGCCCAGCAGACTGCAGCTGCTTGGTTCCAGGTGCGGCCGGCCAGTTTCTGCTGCGGCATTTTTATCATTTCCAAGGGCATAAAACACGTGATGTAGCACAGAGTACCTGGTGATGCTCCGTTGTTGCTGGACCACGTCTGCCTTCGTCCCTAAGCATTGGCCGTGCTAGGACAGGAGCTGATGGGAGTTGTAGTCAAAGACCCTTTTGCCCATCCCCAGTTCGTAGAACTTTGCAGTTAGCATGCAGGTGAACATTCTTTTGTCTTTGCAAAATAAATTTTCAAAAAATCAAGCAGTAACGAACATATCTGGGGATGCTGTGGTGAGCCTTTAAGGTAAGCCTGCAAAATTTGAAAATCTGGAATCTTGGGGAAGGGCTGTAGCTCAGCAAACAGAGCAGCTGCTTTTCATGCAGGTTCAATCTCCAGTGACATCTCTAGTTAGAGCTGGGGCAGGTTCCTGTCTTGAGACCCTGGGGAGCTACTGCCAGTCAGTGCAGGCAGTATTGAGATACATTCCAGGAAAATGAAGAAGAAAAGGTGTGAATTAAACCTTAACATATGTATTCCTCAGAAACACATGCAGCTTTCAACATGTGGTAACAGGGTGGTAACAAAATCGGATCGTTTGTTTTGGGGAGATTGTAAATGGGCATTTGAACGTTGCTCTCCCACATTGAAATCTCTGCTCCACTCTCCTGCCATGGAGAATGGTAACGTTGGGAAGCTGCTGTTATTTTGGCCAGGAAATGCAGACCTTGGTGTTACCATGTAGAAACTGAAGAAATCAGAGTGTTTGGCCATAATGAGGGCTACAAACTGTTCAGCACCCATTTATTCTTAAAACAAGCTTTCGTTCCATATTGCAGTATTTGACCTTGTAGGGTTAGGGACTGGTAACCTTTCTATTCAGATCTGTAAGGCTGATCAAATGCATTAGACTATCAGAGGAGGACAGCTGAGGGAGAGAGAGAGATGAGAGAGAGAGAGAGCCTGGTTCAAACACCCCCACCCTGACCAGAAAGATCCTGGTGCAACTGTCTAATCCAGAGGTTTTCAACCTTTTTGAGTCCACGGCTCCCTTGACCAACTCCATTCTTTCTGTGGCACCCCTGTGGGGCTCAGGAGCCCAGTTATGTCGCCCCTTGCCTGCAGAACTGGCAGTTTGCTAAGGGTGCTGAAAGTTGTGAGTTCCCTGTGAAGGAGGATGGATTATTAACCCACTCTGAGGGGAATAGGGGTGGGGTCCTCCTAATGACTCTCTCAGCACCCTTAACAAACTATAGCTTCCCGGATTATTTTTTTGGGGGGAGAACCATGGCTATTTAAAGTGGTATTGCCGTGCTTTGAGTGTATGGAGTGAGTGTGGCATGTGTGTGTGTGTGTGTGTGTGTGTGTGTGTGAGAGAGAGAGAGAGAGAGAGAGAGAGAGGACATTACCTCATGGCAATAAAGCTTAAGGGTATAGCCAGATTGTCCTAAAAGCAGGTTCACATGGCTCCTCAAATTCCTCCCACCCCAAATTGAGAGAGAGACCATCTGGGATTAGCCAAGGCCGGATCCCGGATCCCACTCTCCCAAAACAAAGAGCCACTGTGACGTGGGTGGGAACAGAAAAGGGGCTTTGGGCACCCAAAGCGGCTTAGTTCAGCCTGCGAAAATCAGGGCCCCTGCTTTGCTTTCCCGTTGCGGCTGAGGGAGAACCCCTTCTCCACCCCACGATCAGGCTGGTGTCCAAACTTGGTGGCCCCTGTTAACCTCCGGCTTGAAACAAGCCCCTAATTGTTGCTTTCGGCTTAGCCAGAAAGGAGGTGGGGAAGGGGCTTTGCCAAAGAGCCGCTGGAGAGATTCCATGCCCGGTTTTGCCCTCTTTCGTTAGGAGGAATAACAATAGCGGCCTGTTTTCTTCCTATCCCATCTCAGAGCTGATATCCTGAGAGGACTGTTTTTCTTCGTCATCATCATCATTATTATTATCAATTTAAAATCGTATCTTTGCTTTCCATCTTATGGAACACATGAGCCCAGGGAAAAATGAGAGACAATATGATAGCCACCTTCAACAAATACGTGAAGAGCTGTCCCATGGAAGATGGAGCTAGCTTATTTCCTGCTGCTCCGGGGCGGGGGGGGGGGACTCAAAACAATGGATTCAAATGACAAGAAAGGAGATTGCAACAAAACCTTAGGAAGAACTTTCTGAGATTAAGGACCGTTTAACAGTGAAGCAGACTCCCTGCCCACAGTTTGCAGAATGATGCAAACGTTTGACTTCGCAGGTGCGGTTTAAGGGAACCCTTGTTCAAGGGGCCGTCTGAAGGTACCCAGGGAGCAAGTGTTGGAAGTTGTCGCTTTGCCCGCTGATTAAAAATCTGCCTTGTTTTCTCTCTTCTCTCTCTCCCCCCCCCCCCCCGTCCCAAGCAGATGACGGCTCAGTTGATGCTGGCTGTTGGAGGAGCAGTCCTAGGATCCCTGCAGTTTGGCTACAACACTGGAGTCATCAACGCCCCACAGAAGGTGAGAGCTGGAGGAATGAATGAATGGCTTGCAGTTTCTCTGATGGGCAAACCATCTGGTGGGCAAACCCACGTGGCCTCTGTGCTGGTCTTGTAGGAGGCAACTTGTTCATGGTAGGGAAAGATGTGCTAGCAGGGTGGGGAGGACATCCGATGCATGTTCAGTTGACCCCCTTAGGAGAATGCATCTGCTCTTTCAGTGGTTCAGAGTAAACAGATACATAGTGCTCCAGGCCTAAGCAATTTCCCCAAGGGTGTAAGAAGGGGAAGGGCTGCAGCCCAGTGGTATAGCTTCTGCCCTGTGTGCAGAAGGTCTCAGATTCAAGCCCCAACAGCATCTTCAGGTAGGGCTGGGAATGTTCCATCTCTGAAACCCTGGATTGCCGCTGGCGATCAGTGCCGACAGTACTGAGCTACATGGACAAATGGCCTGATTCAGTATAAAGCAGCTTCTTATTTTTCTGGACCAGGCTGAAGATCTGTTTAGTTCAGCATCCTTGCTTTCCATAGTGGCCTCTGGGAAAGGCCCTCAGCAGCCTTTCTCTGGTGTTGCACCCCAGCAGCCACAGGTATAATTTCTCTGTCTATGGAGGTTATATCTGGAATTAATAGCCCTTGTAAATGTGTGGGCTGCATGTAGCCTGGTTTGACTGGTTGTGCAGAGGTTCTTTGTGGATACATTATCTGCTCAGTGCCGGTGTCTTCCTGCCCTTCTGTGTGGGTCCAGCACATGCTGTATATATCCAAGGCTTGTCCATACCTGCTTGCATGGTTGCCTGTGGCGAGTCAGGGCTGTGTCCAAGCAACCAAGCATTTTAAAAGTTGTTTTTTTCCAGCTTGTGCGTGAACGGGCTATGAATTAGTTTCATAGAGTTTCCTTTTGCAAAGTGGGGTGTATGAGCACCCCTTTTAATGAATAATAATGATTTTTAAAGGGGTGCTCATAAGGCCCCGCTTTGCAAAACTGCAAAAATAATTATCAGTTAGTTGCTTTTCCTTGCACAAGGCAACAGCAAAACACCCCACAGAGACATTAAAACTAATAGGAAAAATACATTTAAAACACCCCACCCATTCTAAAAGGCCACAGATAGAGGCCAAAAGCCTAGTTATAAAGGAAAATTGCCTTTTGAGATGCAGAAAATGCTGTGCAAGGTGGGAAATTCAGGCTCCCTCCCTCTGCTCCCCCCTTGCCCACCCCCCAAAAATAGCACATCCGGTTAGCCAGCTTACTGCCAACTCTAATGGGATTTGTTAAGCTGGTTCCCAGGAGAATTAACAGTCCCTCTTGTGCTGAGTGTTTTGTTTAAAAGGACTCGGGCGGCAGGAGGGGGGGTGCGGCTGCGTCATTCTCAACCCTTCTCGGCTAATGCTCACCCAATGCCCCTGAGACGGATTCCAGAGTGGGATTTAAGCATGCCCAGGATGATTTTCAGACCGTGGTCTGGATCAGCTCCATCTCAAGATAACGTGGTGCTGGGAAAGCTTTGGAGAAGGCAAGGAAAACGACTGGGGAGTTGGAGCCCACCTTGCGAGAAAGGGCTGTCAGTTTGATTAGCCAGGGGCACAGTAGAGACTTGGAAAAAGATGCATGGTGTTGCATATACATGATGCATATGTTCCAATAATAGGAACATAAGAAGCAGCTTCATATACTGAGTCAGACACTACTGGTCCATCTAGCTCAGTGTTGTCTGCACTGACTGGCAGCAGTTTTCCAGGGTTTCCAGTTGGGGGGCATCCCCAGCCCCACTTGGACTGAACCGGGGAGCTTGACATGCAAAGCAGGTGGTCCGCAGCTGGGATAGAACTTGCAGCCTTTGAGTGTATGGAGCCCACAGCCACAAGAGGAGTAGTGTGGCATGGCTAGCAGCCTGTGTGGCTAAAGAGAACTTCCTTGGCCAAAGACCTCTGATTTCCAGGTGCTTGGGGGACCAGCAACAGGAAGGAATTTTTTCCTTTGTGCTCTGTCTCTGGGCCTCCTGGGCTGTTCCTCACGGGATGCAGGCTGCAGGATTTAGATGCACCACATTTTGATGTGACTGAGGGGGCTGCTCCTTCTGCAAACTAAGAAAACTGACCTTCCTCACCCTGATTATTCCAGAATAATAGAATCCAAGGCCAAAAGCTCCCCACCCCAAGTCATAATTGTTGTACTAAGCACATAGCCAAGAGCTGCTGAGGTTAGATACATGTTTATTTGAATTGCCAGCCAATGATAGTTGCGAACCGCTGGCATAAATGATATCCCCCTGCTTATTGTTCTGAGATTCCTTTAATAGCCTCCCTGCTGCCTCTTTTAGACGTGCTTTAATCTGTGCACTTGCTACTTAAGATATTAAACCAAACTGAATTGAAGAGAGGTTGCCCCGTCACTAATTAAGTAATCACTTCTTTCACTGCAACAACTGAGGAACAGCTTTCTGAGTTAACAGCTTGGGGCCAGTTTACCTGCGGGATCGTCTTACGCCACATATGCCCATTTGACTGTTCCAATCCATGGAACTGGCACTGTTAAAGGTGCTGTATAATACCCAGTTCCATCCTGGTAAGAAATCGATCTTCTGGGGTGCAGCACCCACACTTTGGAACTCCCTGTCGATTGACATCAAACTGGTGCCTTCGCTGTACTCTCTTTCAATGCCTCCTTAAAAGACTTCTGTGTTCAGGCAAGCCTGTCCAGATAATGTAGAATGTTGTATTTACTTCTTTTTAGTAACCAGTGCTTTTGAGTATTTTTAATACTGGCACATTTAATGTTTTACATGGTTGCCAACCACAAAGCTTCTTGCATTGCAGCAGGTTGGACTAGATGATCCTTGTGGTCCTTTCCAACTCTGATTCTATAAGAGGTTGTTTTGTTTTGTTGGGTTTTTGTGTTTACTTGAATTTTGTCAAGTAAACAAAATGTTTATTTGAGCCGCTTATATACCATTTAAATTTAAACAAAACTCTGCTCATTGTAAAATGCTGTGCTATAGAATCCTTCGGCATCAGATCAGATGTCAGATCCCCTCCCATCAGATGTCAAGGAAATAAACAACTATCTGACTTTTTAGAAGACAACTGTTTAGGGAAGTTTTTAATGCTTGATGTTTTATCGTGTTTTTCATATTCTGTTGGGAGCCGCCCAGAGTGGCTGAGGAAACCCAGCCAGATGGGCGAGGTATAAATAATAGATTATTATCATATTATTATCGTCAGGGCTTTTGTGACTTAATGGTAGAGCATCTGCTTTGCATTCAGGCCGTCCCAGGTTCAATCCCTATCTGCACCACCAGGTAGGAAAGGACCCTGTCTAAAACCCTGGACAATTGGTGCAGACAATGCTGAACACAATTGAACAGCCCTTATTACGATTGAGGAGGAGAGTCTCTCAATTCTGTCTTATCTCTTCATCGAGCCCTTCGTAGACCCGCCCAGAGCCTTATTTAATGGTTCCCAGAAAAGCAGCTGTGCTAAGGCTGCTGTGGGAGAACCAGTCAAGCATCTTTTTGGTGCCACAGCACTAACAAACGGATTACGCTGTAAGCTTTATCCGATGAATAAGGGGGGGCATTGCATCTGAGGGAATGGACTCATAAAAGCATCTGGAATAACAGGTGTGTTTGCCTTTTAGGTGCCTCACATTTGATGAAGTTTTCTTTTAAAGACACATCAAACAGGATGGGAGTGGGGGGCAGATGTTGCTGGACTCCAGCGCTCGCCATCCCTGACTTTGACTACACTGGCCCAGGGCTAATGGGAGTTGGAGTCCATCCCCACCTGGAGGACCACAGACTCTCCACCCCTGCAGTATTGCTCTGTGGTGATGGTGGCTGTCCAGATGGGAATGGACTCCAACTCCCATCAGCCCCAGCCAACATGGTCGGCGGCTATGGATGAGGGGAGCTGTAGCCTAGCAGGACCTGGAGGGCTACAGGTCTCCCATCCCTGATTCATGAAAACGTGAGGCGAGTTTGCTGCTTGTTAAGCTTTCAGGTTGGTTTTAACACCGTAGTTTTGAGCTGATTTAGCGCACAGTCCTGGGTGGGGATGAGCAAAGCAGTGGTTCGCTTGCCACTTCCAAAGGCCTGCTGCTACCTTTTCCCTTCTCTTCGCACGGAGCTTTGGTTTCTTTAACCCCCCCTTCCCAATTTGGTTCCCATGGGGGAGAAATGAGCTTAAAAGAAAACACCATTAAATGCAGCAGAATTGTCCAAAAACAGTTGGGGTTTGCCGTCTCCTTGGGTGAGAGAGGAAAGAAGGAATCCATTGCTTATTCCGAACATGCAATGTGAGCTGTTGGGTCCTGACTCGTGAGTTATTCTTGGAATCCTGTTTAAATAATAATAATATATATATATATTTAATACTGTAAACAAACAAAAGCACCTGTTGGAAATGCAAATGGCAAAGAGTACGTTCCCTCCAGGATGGAGAGGCGGGCCTCCAACAACAGCATTTGCCCTATTTTGTGAAGAAACTAAGAATTTAAATGCAGTTCTGAGGGACAGAAGGGGGATCTCTTTCCCCATTGCTGAATTCTCCCCACCTTCCCCCCTCCCCTTGCCCCAGTCCATTCCTGCATACCTACGGTGACTCAGCATCCCACGGTGACTCAGCAAAGAACCAAACCTCCAGGAAGTTGCACTGTATGGCATAGGATTTTTTTTAATGAACTGGTGACAGAAAAGCACCTGTGCAAGACTCTCGTTTCCTTCCAGGTGAGGGTCACCTAGTTGGCTGGGTGCCCTGCCAAGCTCCTCCTTGCTGCCATCTAGTGGAGAGAGTACCGTAATCACCACCTTAAAGCCCCAAAATGATTTTTAACCCGCCAGATGTGTTGGGACTAAAGCTCCCCCATGCTATTTAAGCTAGTCTTTGGGGAGAAAAAGAGCTGATCACAACAATTGTTCATAAAACCATCCAGTAAAAAAACTTTAAAAACATTTAAAATCAGAGACTGACTAACCATTGCAGTTTTGATACCAATAAGAGCCAAAAAATCAAGCATCTACAAAATTAAATCTTGACCCCAACAAAAACTCCTGCCGTAATATCAGGCATCCTGAGCAGCAGGTCTTGCAAGACTGGCAGGTAAAATGGGCTCTGGCTGCAGATCGTGAAGCCTCCAGGTTTGATCGCCTCTGAATTACTGAATGCTAGGGTATGTTATTATATTGCAATTCACTTTGAGTTTATATCTCATTTTTTAAAAAGCGACTAGTAAGTCCAACAAATCATAATTTAATCATCAGGACAGATGGAAGGAAGTCCTTCTTCAGACAGTGCATAGTTAAAGTATGGAATTTACCTTCCACAAGAGGCAGTGATGGCCACCAACAGGGATGGATTGGAAAAATCCGTGGAGGAGAGGGCTATTAGGGGCTCCTAGCCATTCATAGCCATTCTGGAGGCTATTATCTGGCTGCGCAATCCGAGGCAGCAGTGCTTCTGAATACTAATTGCTGGAAAACACTGGAGGGGAGAGGGCTCTTGTGCTCGGATCCTGCTTGCGAGTTTCCCATAATGGGCATCTGTTGGCCACTGTGAGAACAGGGTGCTGGACGAGATGGGCCACTGGCCTAGTCCAGCAGACTCTGCCTATATTCTTAATAAGAAATGGTGGGAAAGGGGTCACTGGCTTCACGCCCTGCTTGCAGGCTTCCCTTTGAGGCATTACTGCAGGGAACAGGGTGCTAGACTGGATGGGCCCCCCTTTGGCCTGATCCAGCCTCGTGGCTCTTACAGGATACAAAATGTGGTAAGCAAATAAACCGTAAAATTTGGTTCAGTACCTAGCCCCACAACACTTCTTTGCCCACTAAAACCCCACAATGGATTTACAGTGGTACCTCGGGTTACAGACGCTTCAGGTTACAGACTCCACTAACCCAGAAATAGTACTCAGGTTAAGAACTTTGCTTCAGGATGAGAACAGAAATTGTGTGGTAGCGGCGCAGTGGCAGCAGGAGGCCCCATTAGCTAAAGTGGTACCTCAGGTTAAGAACAGTTTCAGGTTAAGAACGGACCTCCAGAACGAATTAAGTTCTTAACCCGAGGTACCACTGTACCCTAATATTGGGAAGAGGTTTTGTTTTTACCAGGTGGCTTGGTGTTTCGCGTTTCAACCTTTTCAGGACCTCTGAAGGGCAGCTACCAATCTGGTAAATGAGGCTGCCTTGAGGGATGGCTCAATTCACAGGGTCTCTCCTTGCTCTCTTCCTCTGCAGGTGATTGAGGAATTCTACAACTACACGTGGTACAACCGCTATGGGGAGTACATCAGCCGCGGCACCCTCACCACGCTCTGGTCCCTCTCGGTGTCCATCTTCTCAGTGGGCGGGATGATTGGGTCGTTCTCGGTGGGGCTGTTCGTCAACCGCTTTGGACGGTGAGAGCTGAGCTTTTTTGGTTTTCCGCAGTTAAGGGCCCTAGTTCAGTGCTAGAGCACCTGCTTTCTGTGCAGAAGTTCCCAGGTTCAACTCCCAAGGGCATTTTTCCAGGTAGGTCTGGGGGAGAGTCTTGCCCAGAATTCTGGAGAAGCCAGTCTGTGCAGGAGATACTCAGCTTGAGGGGCCAATGGTATGGCTCAGTATTAGACAGCTCCTTATGTTCCTGGGTTGTTCCGTTGGTGCTGTTTCAACACCCCCTCATCCTTTTTCTGGAGCAAACACAAATCCAGACCTCCTTCAGCCATTCCTCATAAGGCTTAGTTTCCAGACCCCTGATCATCTGGGTCTCCCTCCTCTGCACACTTTCCAGCTTGTCAATATCCTTCTTAAATTGTGCTGCCCAGAACTGGACACAGGGCTCCAGGTGGGGTCTGGCCACAGCAGGGTGGATTTGATTTAAATCACTAGTCAGTAAGACTTGATTTAAATCATTTTTTTTTACAGAAAGACTCATTCTTGCTGGTATAACCTTAATATTGACAACCAGATGAAGGTTTCGTTTTTGGAATAATAAATTTTCAGAGTGGTTTTTACAGTTACATAAAAAATTACTGATTTGGTTATACTATTAGAAATACATAGAGAGATAATTATTAAATTATTGTGAGGTTTAATAAATTAACTGTTTATATTGGACAACTTTTCTGCTGCACTTCCTCGGAAGGAGAAAAATAATCATTTCCTTTCCTTAAACAATTTATTTAACTAAAACAATAACATTATAGCATATGTATCCATGTTTGTTAACTGCTGTGGCTAAACGATTAAACTAAGACTGAGTTTTAGCACACATGACAAATCCTTATTTCCTGATGAATAGCCTTTGGACTATAATGTAACTTAGAAAACTATGTTTAGAAAGATTTTTCCTCCAAAAGCGTTTTATTTTAAAAATTCAATTTAAATAAAAAAATCTGATTTTTCTTTTAATTGATTTTTATCCACCCCGGGCCAAGGTGGAATAGAACAGTACTGTCGCTTTCCTTGGGCTGGACACTCTACTTCTGCGGATGCCCCCACTTAGCCCAACTTTTTTCCTCCTGCAGGCGGAATTCCATGCTGATGTCCAACAGCCTTGCCTTCCTGGCTGCAGCGCTAATGGGTTTCTCGAAGATAGCCAGCTCCTTTGAGATGTTGGTCCTCGGTCGCTTCGTCATTGGGGTGTATTCTGGCCTCACCACAGGCTTCGTGCCCATGTACGTGGGGGAGGTGTCGCCCACGTCCCTTCGGGGGGCTCTGGGGACACTTCACCAGCTGGGCATCGTCGTAGGCATCCTCATAGCGCAGGTGAGGCGGGCTATCGGTGGCTCCCTCTGCTGGGGAATGGGAGACGGTGCACCTGCAAAAGGGGTTGATGGGGGCAAATGGTTTTTCCGGGATAATGGGAAACTGGTTCTTTTTGAGGGTGATAATTATCCTGTGCAAAAAGTCATTGCCTCCTGGGCCCCTCTTAAATGCATGCATACCTGCCCACTTGACTGAATGAGGTGAAACCAGTGTTTGAAACTCCCATTGTTCTAGGCGCATTTTGTGACGGAATTTCATTAGCACAAGCAGTTTCTGAGCTCTGGGTTCAGTACTGCGCCTAAGATTTCAGATTAAAACTGCAGAGGGGAAGGAAAGGAGGACCTTTTTCTGCCTCTCCACTTCCAGCTTCTGAAGACCGGAGAAGAGACCCTCTTATGAATATTAGGGGGGTGGGCAGGGGAAAGACTAGACCATGTGAAAAATGAAGATAATATTTTAGCTGCAGTTCATTCATTTTCAGCTTTGTATTCTTGTTATAGAAATGTGTGCCTAGACATTCCATTGTTGTGCCCATAACATAGGTTTAAGGTGCCATTTAGCTCCTAGTTTTCATATCTCAGTTTCTAACACTGGGTGAAACCTCTGATTTCAGTTTGGAGAAGGAACGTGCTTTATCTATCAGAGTTTTTGTTGTCCAAAAAACCAGAGTCCCAGCTACACAAATCTCCCAGGGACGGGTGTGGTGATGCTTTGCACTGGGCCAAGCAATTACGATGGACAGAGGCTGCCTGCTTCAGTTCCAAGTATAAATGTCAAAGGGGAAGGCAATAAAAATGGGACAGTTTAGCATACAACTTCCGCATGTTGATTTGTAACACATGGATGCAAATTAAAGCTGAGTTTCAGAGGGAAAGTTCCTCTGTAAGCAAAGAGTGTGTGTGTGTGTGTGTGTGTGTGTGTGTGTGTGTGTCCTCACACGTTTGTAGGTATACTTTATTGGAGTAGCTGCAAGGCATAGTAAATGTCAAAAGTTTGGCAACGGTTGTGATCACTGCAGCCAGATTAGTCAGCGCAAGACATTAAAAGTCAGATAAAGGAGTTGACCATCCTACAGTGTTGAAAAAACACTACCACCCATATGGGCTATAGCACTTGCATATTATGAAAGAGATATTGAAGGATGTGCACTGAACATGTTGGCTGAAGAATGGAGTCTGTTAATTATGGGAATGTATTCAGCCTTCTCTACTTTCATTCCTATAATCTGACATTCTGCTTAAAGAAGAACAATAAGCAAAGACCCCCAATAGATATACGCAGTGGATAAACTGTGATTGACTTCTTGTAAATGGATGCATGACTTTATGAAACCGTGTTTACATGTGTAGATGAAATATTGTGGGTTGTTCCTTGCGCTGGTCCAATCCAGGACAGACCCCGTGAAATGGACACGGTCAAATTAGGTCCATTAATTTCATTGGGGGTTACTCTGAGTAGAATTCGGGTGTATACAACCCTCTAGTGTGTGTTCTATTCGTAACTATTTTGGGGTGTACCCAGCTCAGCTTTGTTCAGAATAAGCCCATTGAAATTAATGGACCTGTCTTTTAATTTCAATGGTCTGCTCTGTGTAGGAGGAGCATTGGCTAGAACTCAATATTTTTTGCAAATAATTTTTTCTTAAGTGTGGGGAGTCAGGACAGGAGATCTGAGGCCTGGTACAAAAGACTGTGTGTGTGTGTGAGAGAGAGAGTGCTTGTGTCAGCTACCCCATAACAACACCCTGAGAGATCCAGGCCAATGTAGAACTCTCAAACACTGTTACCTCTCCGAGATTCAGAGTTCCCAGATTAAACCTGCCTCCTCTTCCCTACTATGTCAGGCAGCCCTGTTTAGGGAAGCTTTTAATATTGGATGAATTATTGTATTTTAATATTCTGCTGGAAGCCGTCCAGAGTTGGTGGGAAAACCCAGCCAGATGGGCGGGGTATAAATTATTATTATTATGTCATTCTCTACAGGTGTTTGGCATGGATCTGATCATGGGGAGCGATAGCCTGTGGCCGCTCTTGCTGGGGTTCATCTTTGTTCCTGCCTTGGCGCAATGCATCCTGCTGCCCTTTGCCCCAGAGAGTCCCCGCTTCCTTCTTATCAACCGCAATGAGGAGAACAAAGCCAAGAGTGGTGAGCAGCCGCCTCCTTGCGAAAGATGCCTTTAGAGTGGGGCCTGCACATGTTCAGTGCCCATGGAGGCATGTGGCACAGTGGTAGCATGCTTCTGGGTGGAGCTATGTGACTGAGGTCATGTGCTGTCTTATCCACTGCCCTGGGATCCCTCGAGATGAAGGGTAGTTTAGAAATGTCACAAGTAAATAAAATAGTTGCTGCAAACACCGTGCGATTGAAAAGAGAAGAAAACACAGGGCTCGTGCACATTTAATGTGTAGCTTACCATGTGTATCTATTAAAGGTGTAAGAGCCCTCTTTTATTCTTTCTTCCCCCCTTCCTTACTTCACCTGCAAGTCATGAGTGCATCTCACCTGATTCCTCCCCTCATTTCTCTTCAGTCCTGAAGAAGCTCCGAGGGACGACCGACGTCAGCAGCGACCTCCAGGAAATGAAGGAGGAGAGCCGGCAGATGATGCAGGAGAAGAAAGTCACCATCCCGGAGCTTTTCCGCTCGCCCATGTACCGCCAGCCCATCCTCATTGCCGTGATCTTGCAGCTTTCCCAGCAGCTCTCTGGGATCAATGCGGTAAGTGGCTGTGGAGGAGCTGGTGGTTGGTTTGATTGTGAAGAGGCTCTGTGAGTGATCTGCTGACGCAACACCATTCGTGGCTAGGAATCTTCTCTCTTTGCCCCTTTCCTCCTATACTAGGGCTAGTTGATGATTAAATCAATCCTATATGCATTACGGTGAGGACTAGAATCTTGTTTTATTTTTAGGGAAAGGCCAAAGCTCAGTAGCAGAACACTTGCTTTGCTTTCAATCCCCAGTGGCATACCAGGCAATGCTGAGCTAATCTGATGTTCTAACTTGGTATAAGGTAGCTTCCCGTGCCCTGCGATGCTGGATTCTGGGCACTGGTCCTGTGCAGGTCACCTCTTTACATTTCTTCTTTCTTTTCCACAGGTATTCTACTATTCAACCAGCATCTTTGAAAAATCTGGGGTGCAGCAGCCCGTCTATGCTACCATCGGGTCTGGAGTTGTAAACACGGCCTTCACGGTGGTCTCGGTAAGTGCCTTCCTTTGCTGCTGGCAGAAGGGGGATGCTCCAAATATAGTGGCAGGGGGCATCCTTATGCCAGGGGCTATTTTAATACTGGAGCTCACTGGCGGCAATGGTGTCCCAAATATCTTGCAGTCTCTATCTGCAGTTGGCTGTATCCAAGTAAGTGCTACTCAGACCAGACCCATGTTAGTTGCATTCATTAACCCCTCCCAAATACAGTTCCCTAATATTTTTAAAGATAATGAGATTTGTGCAGGGTTCCTGGAGGCAGACACTGGGGGAAGTCCCTCTCTGTATGGGACCTCTGCTGTCCAAATTGAAACGGGTGGCTCTTGTGCTCCTATGCCAGGCATAGGCAAACACCAGCCCCCCAGATGTTTGGAACTACAATTCCCATCATCCCTAGTTAACAGGACCAGTGGTCAGGAATGATGAGAATTGTAGTCCCAAACATCTGGAGGGCCGGAGTTTGCCCGTTCCTGTCCTATGCTGTCGGAGGAGTATGCCCCACTGTGTTTCTGCACGAGTCCTTGTTCTAGGTCTGTCTCTTCTGGAGTCATTCTGCCACTTTGCTGCAGGAGGAGTGACTCAAATGACTGACTCCGGCAGCAGAGACTGATCGGCAGGAGGATGCAAGGGCTGTAGCTCAGTGGCAGAGCATCTGCCTGCTTTGAATGCAGATACAGTGGTACCTCGGGTTACAGACGCTTCAGGTTACATACGCTTCAGGTTACAGACTCCGCTAACCCAGAAATAGTACCTCGGGTTAAGAACTTTGCTTCAGGATGAGGACAGAAATCGTATGACGACGGCGCAGCAGCAGCAGGAGGCCCCATTAGCTAAAGTGGTGCTTCAGGTTAAGAACGGACCTCCAGAACGAATTAAGTACGTAACCAGAGGTACCACTGTAGAATCATAGAGTTGAAAGGGATCTAGTCCAACACCTGCAGTGCAAGAGTCTTTTTCCCAATGTGGGGCTCAAACCCACAACCCTGAGATTAGGAGTCTCATGGTATTATCAATTGAGCTATCCCAGCAATTGTTTAGTCCCCAGCAGCAGTTCCAGGTAGAGCTAGAATAAACTCCCCTCGCCTGACATGCTGGAGAGCTGCTGCCACTCAGCATAGACAGTATAGAGCTAGGTAGACCAGTGGTCTATGTTTTAAAACAACTTCTAAGTCATGCAGAAACAACAAGCAGCTCCTCTATGAGTGGGTCCCTTGGGCTTCCCAGGAACTTCTAACTAAAGTTATTTCTCAGGACAAACTGCTCTGGGTAGAGCCCTTCTGGTTTATTCATCCTTCCAAAGAGGAACTCATTTCTTTGTCTCCCTTTTGATAGCTGTTTGTGGTGGAGAGGGCCGGACGGCGGACTCTGCATCTCGTGGGCCTGGCCGGAATGGCAGGGTGCGCAGTCCTCATGACCATCGCTTTGGCGCTTCTGGTGAGTGGCATTTGATCAGAAGACAATGAAATAAGCTGAGAGTATGCCTCCACCTCTTGGGGTTGAAATAACTGCAGAGTATCCTGGCCAATGCCCCAGCCCTTAACAACTTGGGACCGGTTTACCTGTGAGATTGTCTCCCCCCATACATGCGCACTCGGCCGCTTCAGTCTGAGGAATTGGTGCTGCTATAGTTGCCAGATAATAGCCATTCTGTACTTGCAAGAAATCAACCTTATATTGTAGCAACACCTGCTCTTTGGAACTCCCTTCCTATAGAGAGCAGGGATTGTACTCTTTACGGCACCTTTTAAATGCACTTATTAAAGGAAAGCCTTTCCAGACAGGTGTACATCTGTTTCTAGCTTGTTTTAATTATTTTTTGCATGTTTTAAGTCTCTGTTTTTATTGATTTTATGTTTTTTTATTATTTTTGCAAACTGCATTGAGGTTGTCCGTCCCCGTCCCCCCCTTTACAATCAAGCGATGTATAAATTTTATGGAGTAAATAAGTAAGAAAAAAGGCTGGGTCCCTGGCGCAGTTTGCTTTCCTTCATCTACCACAGGGCTAGTCAATGTGGTGCCCTCCAGGAGTTGCTGGACTACAACTCCCATTATCTCTGACCACTGGCCTTGCTGTTTGGGGTTGATGGGAATTGGAAGCCAGACCAGATCTGGAAGGTGTAAGCATGCCCTTCAGAGCAGTCGGTTTGCTACTACATTCAGATAGAAAAGCTGCACACCAGATTTCTAGAGCCTTAGCTCTAGAAATGGGCGGGGAAAGAGGCCACTGGAAAAGCAGAGGAGCACCATTTTAAGTAATGAATACATTTTTAATTGCAGTAATGGAAGCCAGAAGGAACTGTCTGCACACCTGGGGAAACGCTCTGAGGTTTTTTAGAAGTAAAAAATAAAATACATCCTTTAAAAAAAAAAAATTAGGGCAGCACGAAACAGCTCAATGAGGATGAGCTTACGTGTGGTGCAGTATACAGAAATATTTGATTTGGGGCTCAGTTTCCCTGTGATGCTCCCTGTATGACTTTTGGTTGGCCGCTCTCTGACTCACAGACTCACTCATCTCATGGGATAAAGGGTCAATTTTTTAATTTTTTTTTAAAAAAGACTTCCACCGTTTGCCTCACGCGTTTTTAATAATCCGTTTGTCAGATCCTCTTTTTTTAAAAAAAAAACACTTTATTTAAGGTAGATAAGGACAAAATGAAATTATACAATTGAATATAAATATAGATGGGAAACGGCTATGTATAGTGAATACTTATCTACTTTTAAAAATTTTCACCTATGATCTTTTTCTTTTACCTCTTTGTTTTTTTCTTTGTTTTTTTTCTTTTTTCTGATACCTCATCTTTCATTTTATATAGATATAAACAACTGTAAATATGAAAAGAGACAAAGTATTTATTTTGTATTTTCTTTTGTTGTAAATATGTATGTTTTCTAAAAATAAAAAAAAACAAAAAAAGGGTCAACTGTTGTGGGCAATGAGGACAGACACCCATGCGTGTATTTGGCTCTGACTTGGTCTTGTTTTTCGACGTTAGGAGCAAATGGCCTGGATGTCCTACCTCAGCATCATTGCCATCTTTGGCTTTGTGGCGTTTTTCGAGATCGGCCCGGGCCCCATTCCGTGGTTCATCGTGGCGGAGCTCTTCAGCCAAGGCCCCCGGCCTGCAGCCTTCGCTGTGGCTGGCCTCTCGAACTGGACGTCAAACTTCATTGTGGGGATGAGCTTTCAGTACATTGAGGCAAGTTGATTTATTGGGCCAGTTTCACTCTGGGTAAGGTGGCCTTCCCCATAGATTCTGGCTTCAGTCCCTTGAGTCAAGGGGTGGGTGTTTCTTTACAATGCACCTCCTAATGGTCAGCTTACATTTGTATTGCACTGCAACGTAACTAGGGCAATGTCCACCCCGCACATTTAAAGCACTACAATACTTTAGTCATGGCTTCCCCCAAAGAATTCTGGGAGCTGTAGTTTGTCGCGTTGGTTGTAACTCTGTGAGGGAACTGGAGCTACTATTCCCAGAATTCCCTGTGACGAGGGATGGATGGTTAAACAACCCTGGAGAATTGTAGCTCTCTGAGAGAAATAGGGGTCTTCAAACTCAGCACCCTTAATAAACTGCAGCTCCCAGAATCCTTTGGGGGAACCCATGGCTGTTTAAAGTACACTTAATTTGCAGACCTTTCAGGCAAAACAGGAGGATGCTCAGGACCCTTAAATGATGAGAAAAGTATGAAAGAGAAGCATTGGTCAATTAACTCTTTCGATTGCTGGTTTTACTTGTTTTTACCAAAAAAAAATAATTCTTTTTGTTAACCACTTTGAGGTTTTCTACAATCAAGCTGTGTATCCATTTTGTGAAATAATATAAATTATGAAATAAAATAGGGAGGGAGTGAAATTGCCGGGTGGAAAACACAACAGGAACATAGGAAGCTGCCTTTACACTGAATCAGACCATCAGTCCATCTAGGTCATTATTGCCTATACTGACAGACAGCAGTAGCTTTCCAGGGTTTCAGGCAGAGCTACAGCCCCAAACTGATAGGGCAGATTTGGCAATATGAAACACGCCCCTTCTCTTTCCCTGCAGGAAGTCTGTGGCCCTTACGTCTTCATCATCTTCATGGTGCTCCTGATCCTCTTCTTCATCTTCACCTACTTCAAGGTGCCCGAGACAAAGGGCCGCACCTTTGACGAGATTGCCTCCGGCTTCCGCCAAGGGGGCGGTGGGCAGAGCGACAACAAGACGCCGGATGAATTTCACAGCTTGGGCGCAGACTCCCAAGTCTAAGCCCCGCAGACCCGACCGGCTCCTCCCTTCGCTTCACTTCCTTTGCTGCCTGTTCTTGACGCTTGTAAACAGAAGCCAGGCTCATGGCGAAGCAGGCGCCGAGGCCTCCTTTCCGGGGCTGCCGCCTGGTTTCCAGGCGACGAACTGACGCCCAGCCCTAGGAACGGTTAGCTGGTTTTTCACGTCCAGGATTTCAATGCTGACAAGGTTCGGAAGCCGCGGCTGTGGTTGAGGCCGAGCCTCTTCCGTGGGGCAGCAGTAAGTCCTTCCAGTGACCAGACCCTCACTTTTATTTTTAGAAGGAAAAAAAAGAACAGCAGGAACACACACTGAGACACACACACACACCTTCCAAGTTTGCAATAACAGAAGCAGCCCATTTTAATCCAAAGACAACTGTTCCGATTCTGATTTTAATGAGACACTTAAAAAATAATTGAAGGGGTGTGGGGAGACAGTAGGACTGATCCATGATGACAAAAGAATTTCCTGCTGGGTTGGGCCCTGAAACGATTGGGGTTGCTTCTTTTATCCTTCCCATAAGGCTGTTACAAAAAGGTTTGATATTTTCTTAAAAGGTCAGTGATTGAGGACCCCTACCCTTTACCACCCAAATCTAATTTGCCTCTCTGTCAGTTACCCTTCCTCAGCAGGAGGAGAGAGGTGGCTGCAGCCAGAGGGGCAGCTGCGAGAAGTGAGTCAGTTCAGGAAAAAGCAAGCATTGCATTTTTAATCGTTTTTTGGCTTGGCGGAGCAGAGGCCCTAAAACGCTCAGGCCCGGGAGCTGACTTTTGCAGGGCTGTGCCCCTTTCTGACCCTGTGGTGTGATAGTGTCTCTTGCTTGTTTGGCTGGGGAGAGGCATCCATATACATATACATATATGTGTGTGTATCCACCTCTGATTTTGCATGTCTGAAAGGTAAACTACAAAGAGGAATGTTTGTTGCTCTGCCCACTTTTGACTCTGGTTGCATCCAGAACGTGGCCCTCAGCCTGGAAGTTTCCCCACTGTTGCCCTAAAGCTATCATGCAGCCATTTCTTCCCTCTTTAAAATTGTAGGTGGGGGGAGGGCAAGACCCTTGAGGCCATTATGTCATGGTGAGGGTCTTTTCACCTGTCCTGGCTTGTTCCACATAGCTTAGCTTTTAGTGGACAACCACATGTTGGGATGGGAGGGAAACAAAGCAGACATAACCCAGGGTTTCCCTGTTCAGCCCTAACACCCTCCCTCCTTACTGCTTCCCCACCCTATGAGGAGAGTCCAGCTGGATCAGGCCCAAAGGTCTATCTGATCATTAAATACCCTGTATTCAAATGGTGACAAATGAGCTGCCTCTACTGAGGTCACAAGGGGCGGGCGTGAAGTTGACAAGCACCCCGCTTGCTTTTTGCCCGCCTCTGCTGTTCAAAGGTAGACTGCTCTTGAAGATGGAGGTTCCACTAACCAGTAGCCATGGAAACAGAAGCCTGGAAAGGACCTCCTCTCTTGTCTAAATTCCTTTTAGAGCCCTCTAAGCCAGCCAGTGGCCACGGCTGTTCCTTCTGCCAGCAAATTCCAGACATTTAATGACATGCGGTGTGACAAATGCCTTGGAAATGGGGGCAGGAATCCAAAAGAACACCCCGAACCTCACATATTGATCTCCTTTCACCAAAAGGCTCCATAAAGACACAGTTCTATTGTGTCTGCCTCAGAGGGCCTCTGGCAAGCTCCTCTCCTCTCCCTTAGCACCCTGGACTCACTGAAATGACAGAGACTCAGTGAAAATGGCTGCACACATTTCCTGCTTACTGTGTATAGACTGGAAAATATTTATATTATATATATATATATATATGTATTTTATTTTGTTCCACCGTGTTAATAGAGCACTAAGTTATAGTGTGGTTTCAGATGGACAAGCAACTTTACTGTAAATAAATATATGATAAAACAGATCTTAGGTCCTCTAGCAAGAGTCGTATTTGACTAAGATGACTGTTTGTTTTGTTTGTATAGATAAAATTAATATGCACTGTAGTGGCATCTGAATGCACTGACATTTTAGACCTTCCTCCATATAGTCAACTACCCCAAGCCCTTAAAGGACCCTGAGCAAGTGTGTTTTTTGGATAGAAGCTCTTGGCAGGTTTGCAAAAAATCTAAGAGAGAAAATGGACACACAGCTATTTAAAAATAAGTATTTTTAAAATTTATTTTTCTGTTTTTAAATTGAAGACACGTCCACACTTGGAAAAAAAAGGACAATATGTTTTTAGGAATTGCAAAGAAAATGAAATGTTAACTTTTTGCATTTGCTGTGTATGGTGTGATGTCAGAATGAACTCCTTTCTAAAGTGCCAATGGTTAAGGGGTGGGAGGGTAAAGAGAAGAAAAAAAGACACACAGAAAGGAGAACCTTGTATGGACAGAATAAATGAAATGAGCGTTTGAGAACCCTCGACTGTGTCATGTGGTTTCATTTCAGCCCTTGCAGGAAATCCTGTGCCTTGAGGGGGAGGGGTCAGCCTGGGCTTGGGGAATCCTCTGAAGGAATCTCCTGCCTGCTCACCTTGAGGGTGAGCCCTCTACTTTATCCCTGAGGGAATTCTCAGCGAGCTGCTATAATAAATCTATAATAAATCATTCCCTCCCACAGCAAGCGCATGCGGGTCTTGTTCCTCCCTACATCCTGTTGCTCCCGGGCTACCCAGAGCAATCATGGCTTAGCATATTGCCTGAGCTTTGGCTCTGGAGTTTGCCTTGCTCTAGCCAAACCATGCCCCATATAGACATGGTGCAACTGTACGTTCATATGCACAGAGGTTTTTTTTAAAAACACACCAATGTGGTGGTTAATTTTCACAGCTTTAAATTTTGTGCAGCTGGGTGATTTGGGACAGCAGTGAGGGCAGAGAGCCCCCTAGATACAGTTAAATGCCATGCTTTGCTTTCAGCTTCAGCAGCTCACCTTTGGAGGGGTGTGTGTGAGAGTTTTTATCTTCCATTTGGCTGAGGAATCTGAAGCAACTGGCTCTGCAAAGGATGTCTGGGTCCTGCCTGCTCTCTGCCCAAGGCATATTTATCATTGTCTGGATTTTGTTACTCAGCTGGTGGGGGGCTCAGATCTTCCCAAGTGGCCTCTGGCAATTGGAAAGAAATGGACTGGAGGTTCATCTGCTCCTCTCCAGGTTGAAGAATATAATCTACAGATATATCTAAGAAGTGCCAATTTAATTAAAACTGGAAGTAGAAACAGGAAAGGATGATTAGCGACTGGCATCTAATGTTCATCTGGGAAGCCAGGCCTGAGGGTGGCAGTGGTGGGTCTATTTTGCATAGATTGGTTTGGATTTCAACAATTTAACCAATTGGTGAAGTGATTCGCTTGGTTCATACTTGGGCAGCTTCTTCATAACTTGCAGAAGTTTCATCACAAGTTCATGAGCCTGAGAGTGACAAGCAAGAGGAAGAGAAGGAAGGAAGGAAAGAACATGCAACATTATTCCTTAGCAATTGTTAAAAAGGATACTTTCTTTTAAATGCCTGATTCCTATTAGCCCTGCCCTGGCTCCAGTTAACATAATAATAATAATAATAATAACTGGCTCCAGTTAACATAATATTCCTTTAATCACACAATCTCTGTTGTTGGATGGTCATCAATTGCTTCTTTAAATAGGTAAGCTGGGCATGCAAAAAAAGTTGCATCACAAAGCACTCCTGTCTGTTTCTCCAGCAATGCCCCTGGGAACCACATTTGGTCATAATGTAACATCATTCCCATTGGGCCACTTGGGGGAAGAAGAAGGGAGGGAACTCTGCTGCTGTTTCAAGTGGCAATGGGTAGTTTAGCGAAGTACAGTGGTGCCTCGCAAGACGAAATTAATTCGTTCCGCGAGTTTTTTCATCTTGCGATATTTTCGTCTTGCGAAGCACGGTTATGGAAAAGTTTTGGAAAAGTTTCAAAAATCACCAAAGTCTTCAAAAACCTCAAAAAAGGCTACCACACCGCGTGCTATGAGTTGCTCCTCGAAGTCAAGTCGCAACTGTATTAACGGTTTTAAGAAAAAGGAAACAAACTTGCAAGACGTTTCCGTCTTGCGAAGCAAGCCCATAGGGAAAATCGTCTTGCGAAGCAACTCAAAAAACCAAAAACCCTTTCGTCTTGCGAGTTTTCCGTCTTGCGAGGCATTCGTCTTGCGAGGTACCACTGTATGTTCATTAAAGAAAAGGAAGCAGGCAAAAGGCCTTGTTGGAGCAGATCAATTCAGCATCCCATTTCTCACAGCAGTTATTAAAATGCCTACAAGAAGCCCACAAGTAAGACCCTCTCCTGCTCGTGACTCCGTACAACTGACACTCAGAGGCATATTGCTTCCACCACTGGAGGAAGAACATAGCCATTGATACACTGTGGCCAGTAGCCACCAATAGCCTTATCCTCCATGGATTTGTCTAGCTCTCTCTTAAAGCCATCCAAGTTGTTGGCCATCGCTAGTTCTTACAGGGGCATTTTCCATAGTTTAAGCTATGCATTGTGTGAAGAACTAATTTCTTTGTCTTGAATCTTCCAACATTCAGCTTCATTAGATGTCTCAAGTTCTAGTGTTATGGGACAGAGAGAAAACATCTCTCCAACCACACAAATGCATCATTTTATACTCTCTCCTTTTTTCCACAATGAAAAGCCCTTTCCTCAGGAGCAACTCTGCCAGCCCTTGGATCATTTCATTTCCTCTTTTAGGTCCCTCTTCCAGGTCTACAATGTCATGTTTGAGGTGTGGCACTGAGAAACAACCTTCTAAGTGTGGTCTCCCCATCTATTCGTACAAAGGTCACTACAATACTACAAGTTCTATTTTCAATTCCTTTCCCAATGATGTCCAACAAGGCACTTCCCTCTGTAGCCTCCTTTGAACATATTAAGCGCTGGGGGGGGGGGGAACCACCCCCCCAAAAAAAAATTAATCAGCTCCGAGTATCATTATATGTTTGGCACCACATCTGCCTCTTTAATTTGTCAAGAGGATAAGTTTCAGAAGAAATATTTGATCCAAAACTAGGAAAGAGCAGACCATGCTGCACTAGGTGGGCAAATAATCTGACATGGTATAAACTCTAGGTTTCAAGGGGCCAAGCACAAACTGGTCAGGAGGCAGCAACAACTCAAGCAGCTGGGTCTAGCCCCCATTTTAATTTCCCATGCTGCACTCTGTTCGGAATGCTGGGCCAGAGCGAGCGGGGGGGGGGGGGGAAACTACACGAAGACCAGAGCAAACATTGCTGGCAGGCCCTGTCAGGATGCAATTGCTTAGGGATGCCGGGTGATGACACTGGTCTGGGATATGTGATGTATTTCAACCCAAACAGACACCATTGTCAACTTGCCTTTGGCACATCCAGGATCAAGTAATGAAACATGGCCAGAGTATGGAGGACCTTGGCTATTTGAGCCAGCTGAGGTCGCGGAGACTGCTCTCGGATCTCTAAGATGGCGCTCAGCATCTGTTTTGCTTCAGCTCGCTGCTTTGCATCTGTAAGGGAGAAAGGGAACTCCATGAAGTGGGATCTACTGCAGTCAAGGGAGCACGGTCTATCTCTGGGCCTGGCTGGCCTGGCTGACCTGTTTAGGCAAGAGCCTTACCAAACTGAGCTGAAGGGGACCTTTCTCTTTTTAGCACAATGGATCGGGCTGTTATCTCATCCACCCCTTGTAGGCAAAGTTTCCATGCACCTGTCAAGACCGCTTACTTGCCAATCATTAGGACATCAGGTGACTTTTGAAAAGCCCCGTTTTGTTCACTGCTTTGAGAAGGTTTCGCAAGGCATTACCAACTGCTGGTTGACGGTGCCTACAAACAGTTTTGGCTGAGCTCAGTCTTCACCTGCCCTCTGTGCCTGATGTCGTATACGATGGTGTCATATATGACACCAGGTGCAGGGCAGGTGAGTGTGACATGGCCAAAATATCCATGTGAGCCTGGAGAGCCTAAAAAGCCCCATGGGATGAAGGCTCCTCACCCCTGACCTAAGAGAAAACAAAATACAGATATGTGGCAAAAAGAGGTGCCTCATATGGTTGACTGAATCTGCACCCACTTGCGGATGCTATAATAGCTCAGAAAAGGAACGGGGAGGAATATTATTTCTTTTTCAGAAGATGTAGCCATGTGCCACAGTTAGCAGGCTCAGAAGACGCATCTCTCTGCCCTGCCCCCACCTAACTCTGGCAGGAGGAGGGAAGCAGCCTGAATTTTAAACCACCCCATTTTCTTTGAATGGGGAGAAGCGGAAGCCATCTGAAAGAGCAGAAGTTACCAAGGACTTCTTCTGTAGTCTCCTCTTCTTCTGCAAGCATATCAAGTTCTGCCGGAGTCATAAGCGTGTGGTACTGGAGGCCGATGAAGTGGCTGAAATGGTGGTGCCAAATATTGGTCACCTGATGAGAAGAGGGCTCATTAAGCAAGGAAGAAAAGGGTGTGGTGATCCCTGTCCCCTTAATGTCCACTGTATGTTGGGGCCACCTTTGAACATTTCTTGGAACTGATCCAGAATATAGCTGCTATATCCCCCCACTTCCGCTACCAACAATGCACAGCTGGCTGTGTGTGCGCGCGAGGCACACTTGAGAAAAATAACACTTTTCCATGGGGATATGACACAGAGGGGAGATGGAACCTGAGATAAGGCTGCCGCGTTCAGCATCACCTCTACTTCCAACCCAGCCGTCTCAAGCCAACTGACCTCAGTGTACAGGGAATCAGCAATGTCCATTCTGTTCTGACGGAAGAAGACATTGGCCATGTGGAAGTATCCCCCCGAAGCGGCCATGTGGTTCGTTCCAAAGGCACAAGAGGAAAAGTAAATCTGAAATGGGATAAATGTATTTATTTATTTCAGCTATCGGTACACCACTGAAATCGCCAAAGTTTCTAAGGACTCTACAATAAGATTATTAAAAACATACAATGGATAAAATCAACTAAATTTTTTTTTAAAAAAAAACCCAACCACCAACAGAAGCAGGTTAGTGTAGCCATTTGGGGGGGCCACATAGGTCCACCTTGCACTTTAGCAGAGGCTTACGTCATTAGCCAGGTGGTACAAAGAGTCCTCAAAGTTCCCTTTGGCAGCGTGAAGGAGGCCCAGGTTGCGATGAAAGTCAGACTGAATGGCATTGCTGCAGTGGGAATTCTTGAGGATAATCCACTGGGCTTGTGAGAGGTACTCCTCTGCTTGGATAAGGTGCCCGAGGCCTGGCAGAAAGGAGAGAAGCCAAGAAAGATTCAGCAATCTGTGGTGGTCTGTGTCTGTAGTGCAAACAGTATCCTGATCAAGATCTCGGAAAACCCTGAGACATCTTGAGAGAGCACCCCAGAGCCTGTGAACTGAGCAGGACTTGCCTGGTAAGCAAGGCAGAGAGCTTAAAAGCTCTTCCTGCACCAGGAAAAAAGAGCT